TTTGGCTGATTTATTTTTTTAAAAAGCTTGTTTTTCTCGAGCACTTCTTTCACTTCAATCTCACCATACAATTGCTTTAATTGGTCAACAGCGTCACCATCTTTGCACTTTAGTTTCTTGTTTTTATCAAAGTGCATCCATTTTCCTGATATATTTATACTGTCATATATATTTATACAGTATAAATACTGATATATTTATACTGTCGAGCATTGTATATTTTGCTTAATAATTACTGCTGTTCCGCCGTGGGTCTTGTTGTCAGGATGATTTGTTTGATATATCTAATAGTTAGGAATTTTGATGAAACTTATGTCTGTTAAGTGCGTCTCTGATAATAAAAGTACATCAATTGCGTTGAGGTTTAAGTATGTTCTCAGTTCTAGTAGTTCTTTGCTGAGACCGTTTGCATTCCATGCTACTATTTTCAAGTCATTATATTTACCCATTGATTTTTGTAACTAACGCCGTTAAAATGTTCATCATTCCTGATATTTGTGTCATCAAAGTTTTCATCACTTCCCTTAACTCTACGAGTCCTGAGTTGTTAGAGTTTGATTCAACAGGTGTTTGGCGTGTAACTTGGGTATATGATAATGCTTGTGGCATATTGACTTTTGTGTTTTGAATGGTCGCATTGTTTGTTGTGTTAGAAGATTGTTGAGGGCTTATTTGGACAGGTGTTACTTTTATTCTCAGGATAGGATATCGTTTGATTTTAAGTGATTTGTATACCTTCTATACTTGTAACTGGCTGTATGCTTTTCTACGCATAAGGCACAGCTCATGTTTTCAGTATTTTCTTTTGTTGAACAACTGTCGGTTTTATGATTTCCTGCACTTTTAACACAAACTGGTGACTTTGTTCAAAAATTTTTTGTGTGCCCATATTTTTGACAGAATATTAAGGTATAACTTTTTATGGGCGAGGTGGCTCAAACTAAATTTTGAAGTTAAGCAATTACTGGTTTGAGTAAATTGTTTTATTATTTACATTTTGTTTTAATTCTATACAGAATAAATTCAATGGTCTCTTGGTTCGCGGCTGTAATACATTTATGATAATTATAATTTCATGACCATTCTCATGAAGACTTTTTTAATTTCATTTGTATCAACAGCATACCACGGAGGAAAACCTTAAAACCTCGTTCTTCCTTTGGTTTGTAGGTGTAATATTCAGTATTTTTTTCTTTTAGTAGCTTTATTATGCTAGTGTAATGAATTGAGTCAAATGGTTGCAGTTCGACATCATTTTTTGTTAGAATAATTATATCATAATTACAATTTTCTAGTGAGTGCAATGCATTTATTAAAGTGCTAAATTATTCGACTTTTTGGACGTAAATTGGAGGAAGTTTGGGTTTTTTTGTATCTTTTTGTTCCTGTGTGATTGTTTTCTTCTTTAAGAAGTTGAAATTTGTTTGCGCTTGGGTTGCTAAGGCAATATTCTTATAATGTTGTTTGTGCACTGCATTGATTTTTTTTTTGTTTTTTATTACTGTTGTTTTCATTCGAAGATTTGAATGGTTTTTGTTGATCTGCATTTGTGTGATTGTTTGTTTTGTTAGCATTAGTTTTATTTATGTTTTGCACTAATTTGCTTGTTTTTGGACAAACTGTTGATTTCAACGGTTATGCGATGCTGTTTGTTTTAGTTGATGCTGTTTAGTTTGTACAGGGTTTACCGACATTATTGGATAAGAATAAGATGTTGATGTGTGGTTACCGTTGCTGTAGTTGATGATGAAGTTGATATTGCTGTTGGAGTTATAATCTCCACAGAGGTTGGGATGCTTGAAGAGAACATTGTATTATTGAAAGATATTTCTTGGAGTTGAACATTGTTTGAGCTTTTTATTTAAACTTTTCATTACAGGTAAAGCGGGAAGGGCTTGCTTGCGCTCTAACGGCAGCGAGCGTTTCACCGGCATTTAAAAATTATTTGAAATGTTTATTGTTGTTAATTTTTTACAGAATACTGTTGAAGTTTATAATTTTTTGTATATAATTATTATATAAAACGTTGAAATTTTATAATACCATTTAATTAATTGTAAAAATTATTTTCATTAAAAGTAAAATAAAAAACAATTTTTCAAATTCGATAGCAAAAATTCAGGGTGAAATTATACAGTAAGAATTGGCAAAAATATAATAGTTTCACAATATATTTTCAGTTTGTTTATATAATTATTTAAAATGTTTAGGTTTATAAAAAAATAAAAAATTTAAAGGCACTTATAACTTACACTGTGGCAATGCCACATTTAGAACTACTTACTTTCGTTAAGAAAAGCATATGCTGTCTCTATCGGCTGTTTTGAGCAAAATAAAATTTTTTTGTATTTGCTTAATTTGCAAATTTAAAGTTTAATTTCTTAAAACAAAAAATTTTTAAATTCACAAAACACGTGAATTTAAACCAAGCACTATTTTAATAAATTTCTTTTATTTCTGATCAATGGATCAAATTTTCATAACTTTTAAATATGAAATTTAACTTTTCGGATTAAAAACAATAAAAGTTGCACAACTTTCGTGAAGTTCTACAACGAATTCATCACTTCGGGCTTAGACTCAAAATCATAACATTCAATTTGTCAGCTCCTGCAATTGCTTATATGGGATATATTGTCAGTTAAGACGGCATTCGTCCAGATCCAAAAAACATTGAAGCAATCAAGACAATGTCTGCGTCAACCAACCAATCCGAACTGAGATCACTCTTAGGTGCTATCAATTTTCATGGAAAATTCATAAATCACATATTGAGGATCATTAGATGAACTACATCAGGAAAAGAAGCAATGACAATGGACGCAACTTCATCATAGATGTTTGGATGGTTTTAAAGAAGTTTTGTCATCTGAGGTATTATCAGCATATTACATTCTACCGAAAAATACAGTAGTCGCTGCAGGTGCATCTAATTGAGGGTTCGGAGTTTGCATTTCCATGAATCCGACGACGATTCTATAAAAGTAATTTGTCAAGCGTCGAGATCACTAAATTTTTCGTGGTCACTAAATTTCATAGAATGATTTTTAGTAGAAGATTCAAACTTCACAGACCCAAATACCAAGCTTAAAAACAAGTGCAATAAAAAATAAACGTACAGTTCGATAAAAAGCACGATGCAAACCAAAAGTTTCCTTAGTGCTGTGAAAATCTTCTCCATTCATTTCTAAGTCGTGGTGTTAGCGGAGTCAAGTCTCACTACAAAAAAATAAACATTTCACAAAGACAATAGCTCGTTTATGTCAGCGTATATAAAAACAAACACCGAATGATGAATAAAAGGTTTAATAATCGAACGTATAGGTAATGTCATTTACAATGAAGCAATTGTTCGGTATATCCGACCACGGCGTACCAGAAATCCTATTAACAGATTTATACCCTAGAACTACCGTATTTTAGATTCAATCTCAAAAGAAGATGTGTTGGCAACCCTGTAAATAAGAATAACAGATGACATTTCTTATAATGTCAACGGAATTTGAATTTAAAATAGAGAAAAAAGATATTGCGAAATTCACAGACATAAAACAAAGATTATCGAATTATGTCCTCTAGAGTTGTGTTGTCTTCATTGACGGCATTCTAATCTTCGGTAGAGCACATTAAAAATTTTAAAAATATGTTTGGAAGTCCACAGGGTGATTTTCTTAAAAGAGAAACACAACTTAAAGGTAATATTCAGGCCACAAACGGGATTCAATTTGATCCAAAAAACAAATAAATAATTTAAGATTTAAAATTGTCCAGTTTTAAAAAATAAATTAAATCATTCTATTTTTATAAAATTGAAGTACCCGAATTCTGCAGAAAGTTAATAAAGGATTATGCGAAATTTACACACCCTCTGACTAAATACAAGAAAAAAACAAAAAATTAACATAAGTGACCCAAATTACATTGCTGCTTTCGAGCAAATAAGGTACCCAAACTTATAAAACGCAAATAAACCCCTATCCCCCCTGCGGTTAGAATATTCCCGCGGTAAGGCATGCCTGTCGTACGAGGCGACTAAAATCCAGCCAGGCGTCGGAGGGTGTGACTTAAAAGGCCACAAAAACACTGAGAAGCTCCTGAGCTGTGCCGAGTAGACGCCGGCTCTTAGTAAGCATCCCCCATCCCGGGATGGCAACGTGGGATATCCAAGTGCACAGAGAGTGATTTAACAGCTGTGCACCATCGAGGGATACAAGCGAATGCACTGTCCTAAGAGAAGGCAGCTGCACCAACGGTGGATTTCTTTCATATTCAACAACTATACATGCTCATGATAAACATGAAAGATGAACAATGTGCCAAACTTATTGTAATTTAAATCAGATTATGGCACGATTTATGAATATATGAACGAATATATGAATACAGGGTACAAACACCCATCAAGATCGAGTCCAGTAAGATTTTGATTATGGCATACTGGAAGAACAATAAGGTTATGAAGATTTCAGGGCTGACGGATGTGGTATTCTGTTACCTTAGTATATGAGAGTGACATCTCATAGAAATGGCTTTCAGGCTAATGCCACATCTTCCTCCGTCCTATTAAAACTTGGCAAGTCTCCAAGTACGTTCGATGGTTCGTCACCGTTAAGTTGGTGGTATAGGTTCAGTTGAGAGTACTCCTGATCTGCGCCAGATCCTGGCTCTGAACACAATCTCCCATAAGGAATTGTGTCAACCCTCGCATGGCCTCCCTGCTTTGCATAGATAACCATGGGGATCGATACAAGCAACTGTACAATCGAACATCGATAGCGGCAAGGAGTTGGGACCCAAATAAAAATGAATAAACAACACAAAATTAAAAAACAAACAGAGAACACGCCAACACATAATGACAAAGGGATGTCCGCAGTGAACATGGACATACCTGAAGTGCCAGAAAACATAAATGATGTACCACCCTCGCATAGGAGCGAATACATAATACAAAGGAAGAGGCAGAAGCGTTGGAGCAATGCAAAGCCGTTCTTAATAAAATGAAAAACACTGTACTTAGACAGAGGAATGTTGCGAATGACATAAAAGAATCAGTTGCTGCATTAGATGAGCTTTTCGACGACATAAGTTATTACCGGCTATGTTGGCTAAAAGCTGAAGCAGAGAAAATATGTAGTGTACACCAATCAAGACTACAAAAAAATAGCAGTATAGTAGACACTCCGACCGCACAACGGCAAAAGCGAGCCGCGACTAGCCCAGTGGTGTAAGCCAATGGAAAGAAACACTGCGAAAAGCCAACATATAAGTGGCAAATCGCTACTAGAAGGAGGGCAATAAACGCCCAAGAAAACAATAAAAAGTCGGACAATGTAGAAATTCCGCCAAAGAAGGGAGCGGAAGGAAAAAATTCAAGGATTAAGCGCAGAGAGCCTAAAGATAAACCTGAAGTGGTACTCATAAAGCCAGTAGAAGGCAGAAGATACGCAGATATTCTTAAGTCGTTAAAGAACAACGTAAAATTAGAGAAAACGGAAATTGCGATCCACTCCATTCGCAAGACTACTGCTCTGGCAGTGTTGCTTGAAGTCGCAAAAAGCGGAAAGAAAGCGGAGTTTTGCGAATCCATAAAAGAAACACTGAAAGAAATAGCGACGGTAAAAGATCTAAGACCGCAAGCAACGATTGAGATCCGCGACTTGGATTGTCTAACCGATAAAGAAGAGGTCATCACCGCTATACGTTCAGCAACCCAAAATCCAACAGCTGAGATGAAGGTACACGTCACTAAAGGGAATAGTAGAGAACAATGCCGCGCTTTCGTGAAAATGGCAATTACTGACGTAAAGAGCATATTGGTAAAATCCCGCATAAAAATAGGCTGGACAATTTGTCGCGTAAAGTTACGAGCCGACGTGAAACGATGTTTCAAATGTTTTGGGGTTGGCCACGTACAGGCAAATTGCACTGGTCCGGACAGAAAAGGACAAGGATTGTGCATACGTTGCGGGGAGAAAGGGCATGAGTTCAAAGAATGCACAAAACCACCGAAATGCTGTCTATGCCTAAATGAAAGGCTCACAGCAATAAATCACATTCCTGGATCAACTACATGCTCGGCACACAAGAAAATAGGATATTAAAGAAAGTACTTCAAGCAAATATACACAGAAGTAAAGTAGCTGACGCTCTCCTAGCGCAAATAGTTATAGATCGGAGAATCGATTTAATGCTTATAAGCGAGCAGTACAGAAAAAAGCAAAGCGGAACCTGGATAGAAGACAACACAACAACTGCTGCAATCAGGGTACCAACAGGCAATGAAACACAAGTCACTAATAGCGGTAAAGGAAACGGATATGTTTACGCAAAATGTAACGGAGTGACGGTAATGAGCTGCTATTCAACACCCAGCGATGATATGCAAACATTTCTAAATAAGTTAGAAGCAATTGAGGATAAAATTTTACAGCTCGACGGTTCTTTCATCGTAGGTGGCGACTTTAATTCCAGGGCAATAGAATGGGGAATGGGAACTACAAACTCAAGGGGAAGACGAGTGTTAGAAATGGCTGCCAGGCTAGATTTTATAGTCGCAAGTACGGGTACGACCCCAACTTTCAGAAGAGAAGAATGTCAAGGCACTATACCAGATATCACACCTACATCGGAAAGAATAGCTAGTAAGCTTAACCAATGGAGAGTCTTAGAAAACTACACTGGAAGTGATCACCAATATCTGTCGTATTGTATACAGACCGAGACAATTTCGGGTAATGATCGAAGCACAAGAGGAACCCACAAATGGAAGGTGGCGAAACTAAAAACAAGAAGCCTATTAGAAGCAATTGATGTCGGACTCCCTACGCATATAGCAAATGCCGAAGAAGTGGTGAGACACACAATGACAAGAATTGCACAGGCATGTGCGATATCAATGCCAAAAACTACTCAAAAGAAAGGTAAAAAGGGCGCTTACTGGTGGACAGAAGAAATAAGTCTACTGCGAAAAGCATGTCTACTCACACGAAGACACTACACGAGAGCTAGACGAAATGGAACCAGTGAGGCAGAAGGTCGAGAATATACCCAAGCCTACAAAAAGCGATTAACACAAGTAAACGAAGAAAATGGGAGGAACTTCGAAATGACATAAATCATAATCCATGGGGCCTTGGATACAAAATAGTCATGAAGAAATTAGGAGTAAAATCAGCAGTAAGTGATTTAGAAGAAAGGAAAATGAACGAAATTGTTAATACCCTGTTCCCAAACCACGATATAAGGAGTGACGAAAATGTTGCAAAAGTCCAACTGGAAAATATTGAAAACTTCACGGAGAGAGAACTAACGATCGCCGCTAAAGAGCTACAAAATAATAAAACACCTGGACCGGATGGGGTGCCAAACGAAGTTTTAAAAATAATTGCGGAAAATAAACCTCAATGTACAATGCATGTCTTAGAGAAGGAATTTTCCCAGATATATGGAAAAGCAGCGATTAGTTTTTATCGACAAAGGCAAGGGAAACAGAGATACTCCAGCAGCATTTAGACCACTGTGTTTGCTAGATACCACAGGAAAACTCTATGAAAAGCTGATAAAGCCTAGACTAAAAGTCGCAGTAGAAGAATCTGGTGGACTCAGCTCTAGACAATATGGTTTCAGAGCTAAAAGATCCACAATAGGAGCCATCACTGAGGTTATTTCAGCCGCAAAAGTAACCCAACGTGGTAGTCATTACTCAAGACCAGTAGCACTTCTTGCCACCTTAGACATTAAAAATGCCTTTAATAGTCTCAGATGGAAAGACGTAATACAGGCGGTAAAAAGTCGCTTCCAAGTATCCGATTATATAAGCAGAGTAATTAGAAGCTATTTAACAAACCGACAATTAATCTACTCAACAAAAAATGGTTTAAAAACGGTACAAATAACGGCTGGAGCAGCGCAAGGATCAATCTTGGGACCTGAATTATGGAACATCACTTATGATGACATTTTGCAAATAGAAATGCCTCAAGATACCTTTCTAGTAGCTTATGCAGATGATGTGGCAGCAGTTATTACCGGTCGCTATACCCAATCAGTTCAAAGAAACTCACACAAGTGATGCTGAAAGTGCAGGACTGGTTAAGCTCTCATGGCTTACAGCTGGCTAGTCATAAAACGGAGATATTACTATTAACTCGAAAGCATATAAATACAGAAATAGAAATGCGAGTAAATAATGATGTGCTGAGGACCCAAAAAACGATTAATTACCTTGGAGTAAGAATAGATGGGAAAATGACGTTTTGGGTGCAAATAAAGTAGGCAGTAGAGAAAGCAGTGAAGGCCACTGCTTCCTTAAGCAAACTAATGGCTAACACAGGAGAGCCCGTCGCGGAAAAACGGAAATTGTTGATGACAACAGTAAACGCAATTCTTCTATACGGTAGCGAAGTGTGGGCAGATGCACTAGATATAGAAAAGCGCAGAAAAGAAATAATAACGGTGCATAGAAGGGCGGCTCTACGTATCACATCAGCGTACCGACTGTCTCGGCGGAAGCGGTTTTTGTAAAGCAGGTGTAACTCCAATAGATCTTCAAGCAAAGGAGCGCCAAAGAGTAGACAACAGGAAAACAAACGGCGATTATACTCAACAAATGGCAAGAGAAGATCAGGACCAAACCATCGAAATGTGGCTACAAAGATGGAACAATAGGACGAAAGGAAGATGGACAGCTAGATTGATACCAAATATAACCACTTGGCTCAAACGGAAATCGGGAGACACAAATTACTATCTCACTCAGATGCTGACAGGACATGGATACTTTTGTAAGAACCTGAACCGTATGGGAAAAATGGATTTGCCCGACTGCATTTATGGTGATGGAGACTGTGACGAAGCAGAGCACACCTTCTTTTACTGTAACAGATGGCTCACAAATAGAGAAGAGATAATATCGCAGATTGGACATATAAGTCCCGAAAACATAGTGGAAAAGATGAAAGCGAACTCAGAGAGTTGGCGAACGATAGAGTCATATGTGATTCAAGTTCTCAAAACGAAGAAATTAGATCTAGAAAGGAGAACTAGAAAATAGAATAAGAAATATAATAAATAAAGTGGACACCAAGAAAATGCGGTGAAAAGTGGTGGTCTGGACGTAGATCGAAAATTAAGAGAGCATGGTTTGAAATGTCAACATAAAAGAGACCCTCCTCGAAGTAATGCGAAAGCGGTTCCGAGGGGGAATAAGCCTCGATGAAGAGGGGGTGTTTCAATGTTAGCGAGTCGGGCACACCATTCCGACGACGGTTTGACGGTGCATAAAGCATTCCACCTCCTCCCCACAAAAAAGAGTGTGCATGTCGAACAAAATATCAGTCACAAAAATTTTGTTCTACTGATTTTTTAAAAACCCAGGAATTACTTAATATTTGAGTCGTTTTACGAAATGTGTGCGAAGAGACTGAATTTTCATTGATATGTGCACATTATCACACTCAACCGCTCTTTTGGTTATAAATATGCTGTTTTGGATATAAAAACATATGTATATACATATATGCATTTTATATTATGTTCGTTTTCTTTAATTTGTATGTATATTTAAATATGTTTATATTTCCTTTATTAAACTATTTTGTATGTTTTGTTCTTTATTATTTTACTAATATTTGCAATATTACAATATAATTTAATTCTAAGAAAAAATGTAAAATATGTACTTATTTAACATTCGCTAATTTGACACTTGCTTAACTTAAGGTAATTAATTCTAAGAATATAATTATCTATTTTACAATGTTTGGTTATTTAATAATACAAATTATTTTAAAAAAAATTCTTACTCTGAACATTCAAAAGAAATAAATTCACTACATTTTATGACTAAATTCTGACTAAGTTCTTTTAGATTATTGTTAATAAGAGTTGCATTAATTGATCTTATATTAAGTGCTAACTTGAATTATAGAGCTAACATATGTCTTATTCATTTTTGAAATGTTTGTTATGAGTGCTAACTTGAATTATAGAGCTAACATATGTCTTATTCAATTTTGAAATGTTTTTGACTTCTCTAAGGCCCACAAGCAATGCTATCAGAATTAAAAAATTAAAAAGCTGGGTTAGATGTTCATTACAGGGCCTTTTAAACCACTGAAGGGTTTTTTTTCTTGCACATTGCACATTATTAAACTTTTAATGTCAATTGCATCTGGCTTATTTTTGAATATGTGTTTAGAAACCTGGGCCCTGTTGCACCAACACTTTTCACTTTTCACTTTGCAAATTTTTATGAGTTTTTGACCATTTTTCTCTCATTGAGAACATAAAGCATTAATTTGAGAATTGAGTTATGCAAAGTTTTGAAAACACTCAAAAAATGCAAAGCGTTGCACCAAAGTACTTTTCAATGAAAAGTAAAGTATGAAAAGAAAAGTGAAATATTTGACAAAAAACTGCTTTCTTTGCAGTTTCTGTTGCACCAAAACTTTTTACTTTGCGCTTTGCAAAAGTAAACTGCAAAACTTTACAAAAAAACTGCAAATGATTAATTCACTTTGCAAATTTTGCAAAGTGATTTCTTTCAATGCGTAAAATGAAAGAAATCATTAATAAATAAATAAAAATAGTTTTAAAAAAATAGAAATTGAAAATTAGTTGAAGCAAATATTATTGCTGTTTTTGAAATAAATTTAGTTGCAATAATTAAAGGGATATATTACCGGACAATACTTTTAAATTGTGAATTAAAGAGTTCAGTTTCTAAAAAAAACTTATAATACATTTAAAATAGATATTTTATGTGAATTATTGTTTAAGCATGAACACTTATTTATTATAATGAGCAGTTTATTATTATTATAAGTCTGTTATCGTTCAAATTCTCCGAATTATGAACCAAGAAAAAACATGGGTAAAAAATATCCTATAATAGCTAACATTGTAACATTTTTAAATATCTAATTATCCGTATCTAATTATGATAATAAAAATGTATTTCTAAAGACAATAGAAGAAAAAATCACAAGTGCCTGGACTTGCGTCGTTTTTTGAACCTTGTTTGAAATGTAATTAAAAATAATATAGTTCACTAAAATTAGTGATAACAGACAACATATTATTTTAACGTTGATAGTAAAAT